CCCCCTCTCCCTCTCTCTATCGAGCTTCCAACATAGGCGGACACTGGAACTAGTTCTGCAGAAAGGCCATGCTTCCTTTCGGATCACATCAAGCCCCCATTATGGTCCTATGGTGGTCCTAGGGGGGCGGCGCTTTCTTATGAGCGAGGTACTTCTGTACAGGGGGCATGCTGCATGGCGTGACACCGTTCGTGTAGAATATCAGATATGTATTGTAAAGCACAGAACCGTGTGAACGACGCCTCGCAGACGCGTATATACGTATCCCTTAAGTGACCAGTAGGCGCATACGCCCTACCGTAGGGCCCTAGGACCTGCCTAGGGCTTTCATGGGCGATTATTCGCCCGTTGGTCACTTAAGGGATATCCCCTGAGTGGCGAGCTGGTCAAAATTGACCAGCAAGAGGTCATAGGCAGGTCCTAGGGCCCTACGGTAGGGAGTATGAGCCTACTCGCCACTTGAGGGACACATCGCAGGCGCTCTAGCGACGGTCCGCCAGGTCGTATCTGCGGGGGGCGCGGCGTAAGTCAATTTCATCTGTTAAGTTGAGTGCGGAGTAAGTCAATTTCGTCTGTTAAGTTGAGTGCGGAGTAAGTCAATTTCATCAGTTAAGTTGAGCGCGGGGTAAGTTGACGATCCTGGAAAAGTAGAGAAATCCCTTTGTTCGCAGCTCAGGTTTATCCGGGGAAACTTATTTTTCTTTCATTTGATGGCAATGAAAATTATTACACAAATGCTTTAATATTACTAGTAAAACCGATTGGTGTAGTGATTTTCATTGCCATCAAAAGAAAGAAAAGCAGGTTTCCCCGGATAAAGGTACCCTGGTAGGGCAGGGTGAGATTCTGTGCAGAGGGGCGTGGTGGGAGTGATTCGCTCAGTGCCGTCCACTTAGTAGGGTCCACTTGTCACTCATCCTGGCCACCTTGACCTTGGCCACTTATGGCGACAAGTGGACCCTGCTAAGTGGACGGCACTGAGTGGATCACTCTCACGTGTGCAGGCAGGCAAGGTTTGGGGTTTAGGGTTTAGGGTTTTAGGGTTCAGGGTTCAGGCGATAGGGGTTTCATCCGGAACAATCATTTGATTAAATAAAAATGAAAACCATTTGATTAAATGAAAATACACATGTGCTTTACTACTACTAGTAGGAGCCTTCTGGGCAGTAAATTTCGTTGCCCATTGTCATTAAATAAAACGATGTTCCCGGACCAGGTTCGGGGGGCTCACCCGGCACTGCCCGCACGGTAGGACTAACCCTAGTCCCTGCGGATCGCCTACCATAGATGCACAAGAAATCGCTGGTCGATAAAATGGCCGCCACGAGGCGTCCTTTTCCACACGTTTAGAGTGTAGGGTGTATGAGGGCTCACCCAGCGCTGTCCGCACGAAGGGAATCGAGGATGTACGTCAGACGCTGTAAGGTTGCGTGCCCCCGTAGCCAAGGTGGTAAGGTAAGGGAGACACCCCATAAGCGGGAGGTCCCGAGTTCGAACCTCGAGGTGGGAAGATCCGGGTGACGCTTTTTTTGGGCAGCCTATCTTCTTTTTCCGACGAGGGCCCTTTTTTTTCGTATGGCACGATCTGGGTTTAGGGTTTGGGGGGGCTCACCCGGCGCTGTCTGCACGAAGGCTGTCGATGATGTACGTCAGACGCTGCAGGGTTGCGTGCCCCCGTAGCCAAGATGGTAAGGGAGACACCCCATAAGCGGGAGGTCCCGAGTTCGAACCTCGAGGTGGGAACCACACGAGGCTACCTATGCGAACAGAATAAATGTCGATTGTAAACGTGTGTAGTAATTTTCAGATGAAACGCAGCGACTTTACACAGGTCCGACCGCTCAGCGGGCGGAAACGTGATAATGTGCCCACAAAACTTTAAAAGTCCGTTTGTTCTGTTCGCCTGGGTAGCCTCGTGTGGAAGATCCGGGTGACGCTCTTTTTGGGCAACCTATCTTCTTTTCCGACGAGGGCCCTTTTTTTGCGTGTGGCACGATCAGGGTTTAGGGTTTAGGGTTCAGGGGGGCTTACCCGGCGCTGTCTGCACGAAGGCTGTCGATGATGTACGTCAGAAGCTGCAGGGCCGAGGGATTGGGGTTCAGGGTACGGTTCAGGGTGTAGGGTGCAGGGTTGAGAGATTAGGGTTCAGGGCAGGGTTCAGGATGTAGGGTGCAGGGCAGGGTTGAGAGATTGGGGTTCCGGGTAGGGTTCAGGGTAGGGTTCAGGGTTCTGGGTTATGGGCAGGGTTTAAGGTAAGGATAGGGTTCAGGGTAGAGTTCAGGATTTATGGTTCAGGGTAGGGTTTGGGTCTTGGGGTTCAAGGCGGTCGGGGGCAGCGGTGCAGGGTGTGTAACCCTCGAGGCTAGCGCTCTGGGGATACAGTCCCGTGTAGGATGGCCGAACTCAGTCACACCGGCCATCCTACACGGGACTGCATCCCCAGATGAGCGCGCGCAGGAACCACCTCCCGCTACCGAGCGAGGACGGGACACAATTTTAAAAACTTTGACCTGAATCCTGAAGGAAATGGACTTTTAAAATGAAAAGCCAGGACCGGAATCCCGGTCCTGACTGTCTTATATGTGCCGAGTTGGCTCGACAGCGGATGGCAGCAACGGAAACACAGTGCCGTCCGACATGGCAGCGAATCACGCAGGGACACTGTACCGAGGCGGGCTCGTCTTCCCTCGCGACGATACCCTGTGCATCAAATACAGTGCGTCTTTCTATTATTTCTGCACTACTACAAGTGTTTTTGTTCGGAATGCGCACAAAGTTGACAGATTTGTGGGTGAGTTGACTTTGGAAACAGGCCAATTTGATACACAGGCCATCGTCGCGTGGTCAGGTGACGCTCAAAGACCTTTGACACGACGTATGAGGGTTTAGGGTTCAGGAGTCGGATTTGTATGCCGTTTGCCGTTTGCTGACATGGCAACAAACCACGCAGGTACCCACCAACCCTCACGGAAAGACCACATCGTCGATTTCCAGACCCCAATTTCACCTTGCAGACCCCCCAGATCTGGGGTGTCTGATCTTAAGTTGACAAAATCTTGGTACATCATCAACTTTTGGGAACAGGTCGAGATCAGTGGGTTTGGTCCTCCCGTGAGGGTTGGTGGACACTGAACCGAGGCGGGCGCGTCTCAAGGCTCAAAGACGTTTGGACCACCACACGGTGGACTACGAACCTTTCATCAAAAGTCAACTTGCCTTGATGCAATTAACTTTAGAGATTTTCTGGCGCAATTTGGTCACGTACCCCCTCTGGAATCCAGGCCCAACGAAACCTTCGAAGCCCACCGTGTGGTTCATATCCAGGCTCGAACGTACCGCCTCAAGGCGAG